GCATAGTCTCCAGGGCTGGGATGTAAGGGGCCTTGATAGCCCAGAGTAATGATTATGAGCATGGACTCTGGAGCCAGACTGCCTAGGTGCAAAGTCCTGGCTCCACCACCTGCGAGCTCTTTCATCTAAGGTCACTTAATACATCGGTAGATGGTGATGATATAAAATGAAGATAATAACGGTACCTCACAGGCCTATTGAGAGAATCAAATGAGGCATTATTGGCTTAAAATTATGCCTGGAACATAATAAGTGCTATACAAATTCTAAATAAATAAGTAGCACTATTTATAAGGGCAACAAGCTCTACATCCCCCTGTGGAGGGGCTTCCCCTAACACCTGGCCCATTCCCAACTCACCCACCTATGCTTTCCTTCCAGAGCTGGGCCTCCAGAAGAGAGGATGCTGTCTGGTGCTGGGCTACATGGCCAAGGACAAGTTTCGAAGAATGAATGAAGGTCAGTGAGATCCTCCCCACCATGTCGGGGGTAACATGAGGGGAGGAAGCTATGCCCTGTGACTGTGGTACAGGAAAAAGAACCTGGGCCATCTCAGAAAGGCCAGTGGGCAGATCAGTTTGACTTCCATGAAGCTATGTATACAGTAGGGTGGGGAACGGCAGCTAATGCCTGGCACACAGGCTGCTGGTTCATAACCATTTTTCCTTATGATGTCTTCCCTCCTGCCTTTCTGTCCCCGACTTTCCTTCTTCTCTCTTCCCTACCGGTTGTCCCCACCCACCCCCCAGCCTGCACCATTAAATCTGATCCTATCGTCTTTTCCACTCCAGACCTCTCTGCCTTTCTTCTCCATCATTCACATCTCTTGATGCTTATTGAATAAACAGCACTTTACAGGGCACCTAGGAGACTAGTAAAGAAGAATAAGGCAGTATTTGTATTCACCATGAACTTACACTTGGAAACCTGCCTCTTTTCCAGCTCCGTTGGCCCTACCTCTCCCTCCTACTCATGAGCCGTTCTGCCTTCCTCTTGCACTGGGGCTCTCCTCTGAGGCTTGACTGGGTCACAGAAGGCTTGGGGAAGGCATTGATGTTGGCGTGGAGGCTGGAATGTGAGAGGAGTGTTGTCACTTATGGGCCTGGTGTAATACTCCCTCCTACTCATGAGCCGTTCTGCCTTCCTCTTGCACTGGGGCTCTCCTCTGAGGCTTGACTGGGTCACAGAAGGCTTGGGGAAGGCACTGATGTTGGCGTGGAGGCTGGAATGTGAGAGGAGTGTTGTCACTTATGGGCCTGGTGTAATAAAGAACCAATCCTCTTCATCCCCAGCCATCTGTCTCCATGCAGCTAATAACCCTCTCCATCAGATGCCACAGACTGTTTGTCAGGATTCAAGCGCAGATAAACAATGCTGGGGATGCCATTTATTCATTAAAGTCAAACAAATGGAGCCTTGGCTTCTCACCAGCCCAGCTTGCCGTAATCTGGGCCCTTCCCCTCCCAAGATCCAGGGCCCCTGTGGCCTCCTTCCCATTCCAGGCAATGAGGACACAGCTCACCTCTCCCATCTCTGCCCCCAGAGTTAGGCTACAACGTAGTTCCAGTGCTCCCTTCCTGTGCTCCTCAGCTGGCTTTCCTCCCCACCCAGCCCACAACCTGCTCACCCTCACGCACCCCCAGAACCTGAGACCTTGCCACTATGGGACTGTTGCCAGCACCCATTATAGTCTGGAAAGAAGCAGGCCAGTACAATCAAGCACAGGAAGTGATACCTTGCTTATTTTTCGCCTGTCTGCAAGAAGGCAGCAGCATTGTAGGAGCCCCGTAGCTGAATGCAGACAGGGTTGGGGTCTGCATTTTCTGTGCACTGCCAGTCAGTCTCATTCAGCGACTTTTCTCTTTCTCAGCCACCCCCTCCTCTCCCAGCACTGCCACCTTGACAAGAGTGCTAGGCAGTAACTTCTCATTTGTGGCGACTGACAGCATGCCTCTGCCTGTGGTGCTGAATAGACATGCTCTCCTGCTGGAGATACTCATTAGAGAAGCTGAAACGGGGTTCGTAAGGGATCGGGGGAGCCAAAAAGTCAGGAGCTGGGCGGGATTTGAAACCCCAGGCTCTAGGTGTCTAACCTCAGCTTCTAGGTGGACGAGGAGATGAAGCAGTGGTAAGCAGGCTGAGCCAACACATGTGATGAGTTATGAGTCTTAACTAACAAAGAAGCAGGAGAGGAAGAGGGTGGGACACAGGGCAGCAGGAAAGACCCACGAGGTGAGTCAGCCTTGGCTCTGGAGGAGGAGGCATGAGGTGAAGAGAGAGGGACCTGGGGGGAGGCTCCTCTGCTCCCACTCCAGCCAGCCTTGCCACCCAAGGGCCACGTTACACATTTTTCTCTCTTTCTAAAGTGCACATGCCCAAATTCCAGAAGAAAAGACATCAGCAAGCATGGGGAGCTGTTTTATGGTTTATAATTATCTCATACCAGTACTCAAAATAATTATGATTCCACATATTAATAATTGAACTAGAATAGCAGCCATGACATAGACCAGGAAACAGAAATCTCTTTCCACGCTACACAACACACCTTGGTATGAATTGAATAATTGGAAAAATAGTTTTAAAAAATATTATTTTTCTTCCTATTGCTGGGATTAGTGAGATATTAGACCAATTAGCAGCTTCTTCCATTAGAGATAAGCTGGTGATCATTACATTTCCAATTTAGAATAAATACAAAAGGCCTACTTGTGTTGTATTAAAACATATGTGTTCTGTTTCACAGTATCTAATAGGGTGCCTGTCACCTGGGGAGAAGGGGTCCCCTATTTCATTTGTTTCCCTGTTAATTTGGTATCTTTTTATTATCTTCTCCCTCCACTCCCTCCTCCTCACTACATTCCAAAAAATAACAGCTTGAGAAGGAGCCAGAGGGAAATAATGAATGAACAGGAGCTTTATAGATCTGGGGTTTATCATAAGTTAGAGTAATCGCAATTGGTGCTGTTAAACCACACAAAGCAATAAAAAGAAAACGCTATTCAAAGATTGTTTAAGGAGGCATGTGATAGTCAATGAAAGGTGTGCTCTATTTGGGAGTGCTCAATAGCTTCTTGGACAGAATGTGCGGCATTTGCAGGAATAGAGGGTGGTTGGTAATGTGTGGAGAGAGTGTGTGTGTTCTTTTCTGTTTGGACTCAACACATTTGAGGCATCAAGTGGAGACGAGCAAAATCAATGAAGGGCAGACAAGATGAGAGGGAATAAAGACAAACTAGGCATAAGAATATCACATTTGTTTGCCATCATTGTCTTCATGTGATTAAGTACATGGTGCTTTAAATAGGAACTGCTGGAAGGAGATCATTTATTTATGTATCAAACATTCATGGACGGGCCAGCCCGGTGGCGCACTGGATAGTGCGTCGCTTGGGAAGTGCAGCGGCGCTCCCGCCCGAGGGTTCGGATCCCACATACAGACCGGTTCTAGGAACTGCTGGAAGGAGATCATTTATTTATGTATCAAACATTCATGGAATACCATAAAAATAATACCAATGTTTCATGATAAGTGCCAGATGTCGTTCTAAGCACTAGAGCTATAAAAGTAAATAAGACATAGTCCCTGCCCTCAAGGAGCTCACAGTAAAAATACACAGGCACATCTCAGTGTAAATGTCCCCTCTACAAAGAGATCCTGCCTTGCCGCCTTACCGAAGTTAGATACTCCCCCACCATATGCTCCGTCATGGCATCCAGTCTGTTTATTTCACAGCACTTATCATATTTTGTGATTGTTTATTAGACTTCTTACTTGTATACCGTCAGTCCCACCTGGAGAATTAGCTGCAGGAGGGCAAAGATCTGCTCCCTTCCTCCCCTATTCCTGGACTTCGCCCAGTGTCTCCCACATAATCACTCAATTTTTATTTAAGTAAGGAATTAGTGCTGTGAGTGACAATAGNTAAGAATATCACATTTGTTTGCCATCATTGTCTTCATGTGATTAAGTACATGGTGCTTTAAACAGGAACTGCTGGAAGGAGATCATTTATTTATGTATCAAACATTCATGGACGGGCCAGCCCGGTGGCGCACTGGATAGTGCGTCGCTTGGGAAGTGCAGCGGCGCTCCCGCCCGAGGGTTCGGATCCCACATACAGACCGGTTCCCGCTCACTGGCTGAGCGAGGCGCGGGAGCAACACCGAGGGTTGCTCTCCCGTTGCCGGTCCCCAGTCCGGTACGGGGGCAACACTGAGGGTTGCAATCCGTGGCCGGACACGGAAAAAGACAAAAGACAAAAAAAAAACATTCATGGAATACCGTAAAAATAATACCAATGTTTCATGATAAGTGCCAGATGTCGTTCTAAGCACTAAAGCTATAAAAGTAAATAAGACATAGTCCCTGCCCTCAAGGAGCTCACAATAAAAATACACAGGCACATCTCAGTGTAAATGTCCCCTCTACAAAGAGATCCTGCCTTGCCGCCTTACCGAAGTTAGATACTCCCCCACCATATGCTCCGTCATGGCATCCAGTCTGTTTATTTCACAGCACTTATCATATTTTGTGATTGTTTATTAGACTTCTTACTTGTATACCGTCAGTCCCACCTGGAGAGTTAGCTGCAGGAGGGCAAAGATCTGCTCCCTTCCTCCCCTATTCCTGGACTTCGCCCAGTGTCTCCCACATAATCACTCAATTTTTATTTAAGTAAGGAATTAGTGCTGTGAGTGACAATAGAGGACTATAGAGAGTCACCCACAGGTGTCAGGTAGGTGTGGAGAAGGGGCTCGTCAGGCAGAGCAGGCTGATTACACAAATGAGTCCCCACATCTTCAGGAATTTCCTGTCTTACCCTGGAGCCGACCCTCAGGCTTTCCTTCAGTTCCAGTACTACAGTCCCCTTCCTGGGAGACCAGGGCCCAGGCAGGCCAGCAGAGCGCGACGGCTGGGAGAGGGGGGCCTTGCCCAGGGGTGGTCTCCCTCTTTTCCCCACTGACCCTCGTTCATCACTCTATCTACTGCTGGGCCATGTGCTCGGGGCATCTCTAGTAGGGTATTTCCCTTCAGATCTGCAAGGAGAACTGCTCTCACTGTTCCCTGACCCATGTCCCTGACACGTGCATGCGCATACACGTGCACATGCACACGTGCACATGCACACGTGCACACGCACACACGCACACCTTTGCCTCTCTTTCTCAGCTGTCCCCCTGATGACCCCTTTCTCCTGGAGATCCCAGAACCACTCCCCTTCTCAATGCACATCGCCGGCCCAGAGCAGAGCCTATTCCTAGGCAGAGTAGAAAGCTGTCACATGGTGGCAGACGAGGGGCCTCTCAGAAAGCTCCCTGTTCCTCTGTGTTAGAACTGAAAATGACCCCAGAGATTACAGCACAGCCCACTAAATCGGCACAGCCCGGAAGCATTGAGCAACGTGCCAAGGCTCAAGAGAAAGTGGCTGGAAGAGCCAGGACTACAGCCCAGGGCT